AGGCAACGCCTGAGTCACGGCCCTGGAATGCAGCGGCCTCAGCACCGCTGCTGGATGCTGAACCCCGGCGAAGGGAAGGGGTCCCGAGGGGTCCCGGTGCCCCCGTCGGTGCGAGGGCTGCAGCGGGGCCGGGTCCCCACGGAGAGCGCGGGGGCTCGGTCACCATAAAGGAAAGCAAGGAGGGAGCCCCACCGGAGCCCGGGATCCAGCCCCGGGCCCGGGGCCGGCAGCGCCCAGCTCCCGCATCCGAGCGGGTCTCCATGGACCACGGAGCCACGAGCGGGAGCATCCGGACGAGCTCCCGCGGGCCGGGGATGCTCGGGAACGGCGGCTCCCGAGCGAGGCCTCGCAATGGCAGGGACGGGATCCGGCGCTCCCGCACCCCGAACCCACCCCCAAAGCCCACAGGGGTCCCCCCTGCACCCGGGGCCGCTGCCTCAGCGCGGGGGGGGGGGGGGGGGGGGCACGGCCGAGGCTCCGGTCCCGGCTCCCATCCGCGCTCCATGGACCGGGGGATGCCCCCGGCCCGGAGCGCGGGTCCCGGCCGCAGCGAGCAGCGGGGCCGGGCCGGGAGGCCCCAGCGCTGGGAGCGGGCCCCGGGCGGGAGCCGCGGCCTGGGGCGGCGGCTGAGGCCGGGCCCGCACTAGGCCGCGCATCCCCGGGCTGGCGTAGCGGCGCGGCCGGGCAGGGCGCGGGGCCCGCGGGGCGGGCGCGGTTGGCGGTACCTGGTCCGTGATGCTGAGAATCCCCATCTCGGGGCCGCCCTCAGCGCGCAGCTCCCGGCATCGGGCTCCGGCCGCGGCGGCTCCGCTCGGGCGGCTCTGGCGGGGCGGGGAGCGCCTGGGCCCGCCCACAGCTCGGGGAGCGGCCGGGCCGCAGCGCCGCCGCCGGCCGGGAGCGCCGGGTGCGAGCCGGGCCCAGAGCCCGAGCTCCCGCCCCGGCCACCGCCGGAGTCCCCCCGCCCCACGGGCGCCGCTGCGAGCCCCGGTCACTGCCCAGCGCGGGCGGAGCCGTGCCCGTGTGCGGGGCCCATCCCCACGGCTGGGAGCGGCCGTCGATGGCAGCAGCCACGTGCGCGGGTGTCACGGGGCACCGGGCACGGCCTCGGGGCCGCCCCGCACGGTGCGGGGGGGGGAAGGAAACGGCCGGGCCCCGGCGCTCCCGTCCGGTACCGGCGCCGGGCACGGGGCTGGGACCCCCCCCCACGGGTCCTGCGGGGTGAACGCGGGGCTGCCACGGGGAGCGGGGCCCCGGAGCCCCGGAGCGGGAGCGGGGAAGGAGGGAGGGGGGGGGGGTCCCACCGGGGCTCCCCTCGGAGCCGTGCCCGGTTGCCCCCGGTTGCGCCCCCACCGGAACTACAGCTCCCATCACCCCCCGCGCGCCGCGGACTACAACTCCCATGGTGCCCCGCGCGCGCGCGTCCCGGGAAGGGGGCGTTGCCTTCCCCTTCGCCCCGCCCTCCCGGCGCTGTGAACGCGGTGACGTCACGGTGACGTCGCGGGCAGGAAGGGGTGAGAGGTCACCCGGTGCGAGGGCTCCGGGCCCCGGTGATGGCGGCGCGGCGGCTCCGCGGGGCCCTGCAGCGGCTGCGGGCGGCGGGGCCCGGCCTGGGGTGAGCGGGGGAACGGGGGGGAACGGCGGGGGGGGGGGAACCCGGTTCGAGCGCCTCGGAACGGCGCCGGTGCCGCCGCGTCCGGACACCCCGGGTACGGCCGGGACCGCACCGGGAGCGGGGGGGGGGGCTGCGCTGTTCGCGGTGTCCGGACGCGGCGGGGCCGCACCGGGAGCGGGGGGGGTCCGGGGCTATTCCGGGCGCTGCCAGGCTTGGCACGGCCCCGGCGGGCGCTGGGGGGGGGGAGCGGAGCCGTGGCTATAAATAACCCGCGGTGCCGGCCCCGGGGGGGGGGCAGCGTTCACCGGGCCCCCCCCCCCCCCCCCCCTGCTCCGGTCCGGTCCCCGGTTGGGGGGGGCGGCACCACCGGGTCCCAGGGCTCGGGTGCCGCTGTTGGGGTCCGGGTGATCCCCATGGAGGTGCCTCCCCCCCCGCCACTTCCCACCGGGACCCCGGGGGGGGCGGATTGGGGAGACCGGGGTCAGGTTTCCTCTTGCGCAAGAGTGGGACTGGGATGGGACCGGGATGGGACCGGGATGGGGCCGGGAAGGGGCTCCCGGTGACGGTCCCGTTTCCCCCCCAGCCCCGCGGCGCTGAGCGGCCTCCGGGTGCTGCCCGGTGCCGAATGGGACCCGCGGCTCCAGCCCGTGCGGTGCTTCCTGAACCTCAGCACCAAGAGGAAGGAGTACTCGGAGCGGCGAATCATAGGGTACGGGGAGCTCCAACAGCCCGTGTCCCCCCCTTGTGGTGGGTGACAACCACCCCTAGGCCTCAGTGAGCACCCATTGGCCTCAGTGAGCACCCCTTGGCCTCAATGAGCACCATGGTTCAGCACCCATCCCTTTGCACTGGGTGATGCCCACCCCTTGGCTTCAACACCCATCGCTGGGCTTTGGCACCCGGTATCACCCCCCTCTTTGGGATGGGTCATGAGCACCCCTGGTCTTAACACCCACCTGCTGGCGCTGGGTGATGACCACCCCTTGGCCTCACCACCTTGCGTTGCCCCCCCTTTGTGATGGGTGACAACCACCCGTTGGCCTCAACACCCTCTGTCACCCCCTTTGTTTTGGGTGACAAACACCCTTTGGCTTCAGGACTTTGTGTCACCCCTCCTTTGTGATGGGTGACAACCACTTCCTGGCTTCAATAACCACCATGCTTCAACACCCATCCCTTGGCTTTAACGCCTTGCATTGCCCCTGCTTTGTGATGGGTGACGACCACCCCTTGGCCTCAACACCCGGTGTCACCCCTCCTTTGTGATGGGTGTCAACCACCCTCTGTCCTTGGTGCCCATCCCTTGGCCTCAATGCCCACCATGGTTCAACACCCACCCCTTTGTGATGGGTGACGACCACCCCTTGGCCTCAACACCCGGTGTTACCCCCTTTGTGATGGGTGACGACCACCCCTTGGCCTCAACACCCATCCCTTGGCCTCAATGCCCCCCATGGTTCAACACCCACCCCTTTGTGATGGGTGACGACCACCCCTTGGCCTCAACACCCGGTGTTACCCCCTTTGTGATGGGTGACGACCACCCCTTGGCCTCAACACCCATCCCTTGGCCTCAGTGCTCACCATGGTTCAACACCCACCCCTTTGTGATGGGTGACGACCACCCCATGCCCCCCCAGCTCACCCCCCCCACCCCGCAGGTACTCCATGCAGGAGATGTACGCCGTGGTGGCCAACGTGGAGGACTACAAGCACTTTGTGCCCTGGTGCAAGCGCTCGGTGGTGCTGGCGCGGCGCGCGGGGCACCTCAAGGCCCAGCTCGAGGTCGGCTTCCCCCCGGTGCTCGAGCGCTACACGTCCAGCGTCACCCTGGTGCGCCCGCACCTCGTCAAGGTGAGCCCCCGGCGCTATGGGGATGGCGGGGGGGGGTCTCCCTATTGAACCCCCCTCTTTGTGCCCCCGCCTCAGGCTGTTTGCACTGATGGGAAGCTCTTCAACCACTTGGAGACCAATTGGCGCTTCAGCCCCGGCATCCCCGGCTACCCACGCACCAGCACCGTGGACTTCTCGGTGAGGTGATGGATGAGGGGGGGCTGATGAATCCTGACCCCCCCCACCCCAAAACACTAAACCCCATCCCCTTCCCCCCCCCATCCCAAGATCTCCTTCGAGTTCCGCTCCCTCCTGCACTCCAATTGGCCACCGTGTTCTTCGACGAGGTGGTCAAGCAGATGGTGGCCGCCTTCGAGCGCCGCGCGGCCGCCAGCTTCGGGCCCGAGACGCGCATCCCGCGGGAGCTCATGTGCCACGAGGTCCATCAGACGTGAGGGCGGCCCCGGGGCACGGACTGGGACTGGACCCCCCCCAAGCTATTTATATGGGCACTGCTGCATCACCCCCATCCCGATGGGGGGGGGGGGGGGATGCTGAGAGCCCCCCTGGCCCCACGGCGGAGCCGGCGCTGGACTCGTTTGGTTTTAAGTGGTTTTAGTCCCGTTTTGGGCTTGATTGCATTGGTTTTGACCCCCTTTTTGGTTCATTTTTAGCTCCTGGGAAGGGGGGGGGGGGGGTCGCTATGGAAGGGGTTTGGGGGGGGCACACGGGGGGTAGGACCCTTCCTTCCTCCCTCTTCAGGAGCCATAGGGCAGGAGCGGGCGCAGGAGGGACCCGGCCCCACGGCGCAGTTTGCACAAGGCACACGCACAGGGTTGGGGGGGAGGGGGGGGGCCTCACGCTGCACCCCACCCACCCCCATCACCTTTCCCTCTCCTCCAGCACCCCCATAGGGGTGGCTTTGGGGGTGGGGGGCAATAAAGACTTATCCCAAGGGTGAGAGCAGCCTCGTGGTCCTCATTGGGGAGATGGGGGGGGACCCCAAACCAGCGCTCGCTATGGGGGGGGGGGTGGGGGGACACCACATCCTTCCCCTCCCCCCATCCCCACACCCCCCCCCCCCAAATCCCACCGGGATTTGTTAATAAAAACATTTATTTTGCATTTTCTCGTTGTTTGTACAGAAGTGGCCGGGGGGGGGGGGGGGGGGGAGGGGGGGCGGGGGGGGGGGAGGGGCATCAGACACAGTGGTTGGTGGGGGGGGGAGGGGGGGGTCACACAAACACAGGGTGCAGCCGGGGGGGGGAGGAGTGTATCGAGTCCCTGCGTGGGGGGGGCACATTCATTCTGCTGCCCCCGGGGGGGCGCTGGGACAGAGGCTGGACTGAACCCTCTCAATGGGGAGGAGGGGGGGGGGGGGGACCCCAACGTTGGTGCCACCCCCCCACCCCCCAGCGCAGCAGCCAAAGGGGGGGGTCCCAGTGTGTGCGGGGCTGCCTCTGCCCCCTCCCCTCCATCAGAGGGGACAGGAGCAAGGGGGGGACCCGTGGTTGGGGGGGGGGGGGGGGGTTCAGTGCTGAGTCCATCCCGGGCCCATCCCGGCAGCGTTCCCTGCGGAGCCGCGGCCCCGGCCCGGCCCTACCCGGCTTTGTAGCCCACGAGCTGCATGAGCCCCTTGGTGCTCATGGACTTGGGGCGCTCCAAGGGGAACCCCAGCGCCCGGCTCCAGATGAGCTGCGAGAGGACGCCCAGCGCCCGCGAGACGCCGAACAGCACCGTGTAGTAATTCATCTCCTTGAGGCCGTAGTACTGCGGGGAGCGGGCGTCAGCGCCGTGGGGCGGCAACGGGGCGGCAATGGGGTGGCAATGGGGTCAGCGCAATGGGGTCAGCACAATGGGGCAGCAATGAGGTCAGCGCAATGGGTCAGCACAATGGGGCAGCAGTGGGGTCAGCGCAATGGGGTCAGCACAATGGGGCAGCAATGGGATCAGGGCAATGGGGCAGCACAATGGGGCAGCAGTGGGGTCAGCGCAATAGGACAGCAATGGGGTCAGGGCAATGGGGTCAGCACAATGGGGTCAGCACAATGGGGCAGCAATGGGGTCAGCGCAATGGGGTCAGCACAATGGGGCAGCACAATGGGGCAGTAATGGGATCAGGGCAATGGGGCAGCAATGGGATCAGGGCAATGGGGCAGCAATGGGGTCAGCGCAATGGGGTCAGCGCAATGGGTCAGCACAATGGGGCAGCAGTGGGGTCAGCACAATAGGACAGCAATGGGGTCAGGGCAATGGGGGCAGTAATGGGGTAATAATGGAGCAGCAGTGGGGCAGCAATGGGATCAGAGCCATGGGGCAGAAATGGGGGCAGCAATGGGGTCAGTGCCATGGGGCAGCAAAGGGATCAGAGCATGGGGCAGCAATGGGGTCAGTGCAATGGTGTCAGTGCAATGGTGTCAGTGCAATGGGGCAGCAATGGGACAGCAATGGGGCAACACAATTGGGTAGCAACGGTGTCAGTGCCATGGGGCAGCAATAGGGTCAGCAATGAAGCAGCAATGGGGTCAGTGCCATGGGGCAGGAATGGGGTCAGTGCCATGGGGCAGCAATGGGGTCAGCAATGAAGAAGCAATGGGGTCAAAGCCATGGGGCAGGAATGGGGTCAGCAAGGAAGCAGCAATGGGGTCAGTGCCATGGGGCAGCAATGGGGTCAGCAAGGAAGCAGCAATGGGGTCAGAGCCATGGGGCAGCAATGGGGTCAGTGCCATGGGGCAGCCGGGAGCTCTCCGCCCCGCGCTGGGCTCACCTGCAGCAGGACCCCGCTGTGGGCGTCCACGTTGGGCCAGGGGTTCTTGGCCTTGCCCTGCTCCAGGAGCACGTTGGGGACGATCTTGTAGAGCTGCGCCACCAGCTTGAAGAGGGGGTCCTGGGGCAGGTGCTTGAGCGCGAACTCCCGCTGGCAGCTGTAGCGCGGGTCCGTCTTGCGCAGCACCGCGTGCCCGTAGCCCGGCACCACCTGCACGGAGCCAGGCCCAGAGCTCAGCCCCTTCCGCTGCACCCGGATGCTCCAGGGCTGGCCTTGAGCACGGGCTGGGATGGAGCATCCCCACCTCCTCCATCCAACCCATTCCATTCCATCACCCATTGCTCCATCACCCCTTGCTCCATCACCTCCGCTGCACCCGGATGCTCCACGGCTGGCCTTGAGCATGGGCGGGGATGGAGCATCCCCACCTCCTCCATCCAACCCATTCCATTCCATCACCCATTGCTCCATCACCCATTGCTCCATCACCTCCGCTGCACCCGGATGCTCCAGGGCTGGACCTTGAGCACGGTCGGGGATGGAGCATCCCCACCTCCTCCACCCAACCCATCCCAGTCCATCACCCATTGCCCCATCACCCATTGCCCCATCGCTTCCGCTGCACCAGGATGCTCCAGGGTTGGCCCTGAGCATGGCCCCAGAGGGAGCATCCCAACCTCCTCCATCCAACCCATCCCATTGCCCCATCACCCCTTGCCCCATGGCTCCAGCATCCCTGTAGCCCCCTTCAGCCACTGGAAGCTGCCCTTCCCCAACGCAGCTCCTATGGGAGCTGCTCCAGCCCCTGCTCGTCCTCGTGGCCTCCTCTGGCCGCGCTCCAGCGGCTCCGTGCCCTGGCGCTGAGCTCACCCCGCGGCGCTGGGCTCACCCTGCCCGAGTTGAGCGTGTTCCAGATGAACTCCCGCAGCTTCTCATCCGACACCTCCTTGCCCAGCTCCTTCTGCAGGTCCGTCAGCCAGAGCAGCACCTCCTGTGGGGCGGGGCGGGGTGGGGGGCTCAGCACCGCGCTCCCAACGGGACGGACGGGGGGCACGCGGGCAGCGCTCACCTGGTTGGCGAGGCCGTGCAGGGGCCCTGCCAGCCCGTTCATGGCGGCGGCGAAGGCGAGGTAGGGGTCGGACAAGGCGCTGCCGACCAAGTGGCTGGTGTGGGCGCTCACGTTCCCCCCCTCATGGTCACTGCAGGGCCGAGGAGGCAGCATCAGGTACCCCCCCCCGTTTATCACCACGGGGCCACGGCGATGCCACCGCTGCCCCATAGCCCCCGGCCCCGCACCTGTGGATGGTGAGGTAGAGGCGCATGAGCTCGATGAACTGGGGCTCGCTGTAGCCCAGCATGTTGGCGAAGTTGTGGGACCAGTCGAGGTTGGGGTCGATGGCGCCGATGCTGCTGCCCTCGCGGTACAGGTTGCGGTAGATCTTGGCGGCCACGCACGGCAGCTTCGCAATGAGGTCCATGGCGTCCTCGTAGACAAACTGAGGCGGAGCAATGAAACCAGGACCTCCCCCCCCACCCCCGGCACCCCATCACGGTGGGGTCCTCACCCCCCCCACCCCACCCCACCCCGTTACCTCCCAGTACTTGGCGCGATGGACGCCCTCGCCGTAGGCGCGGGCGAACTTGCTCTCGCTGTTGAGCGCGGTGATGGCGGCGCTCAGCTGGGACATGGGGTGCAGGTTGGTGGGGAAGTTGTCCAGCATGGTCACCACGTGCGACGGCAGCGCCGCCCGCCGGGCCCATTCCCGAGACACCCAGGTCACCTGCAACGGGGACGCGGGGCTGAGCCGGCGGTGCCGGTGCCGGCATCGCCGGTGCCCGCGGTGTCCCCGTGGCGGTACCTGCTCCTGCGTGGTATCTCCCCGGTCACCAGCAGCCAGAAGAGCCCCTCTGGCAGCGGCTCCTCGCCCCCCGCGGCTTTGGGCAGCAGCTTCTGGCACTCGGGGATGCTGTACCCGCGGAAGCGGATGCCCTGCGGAGCGCGGCGCAAGCGTGAGCCCCCCCGGGCCGCGGTGCTGCCGGCACCGAGCGGGGCAGGACTCGGCCCTACCTCATCGGGATCCAGCACCGAGGTCTCGTAGATCAGCCCCTTCATGCCCCTCATCCCGCCGTACACCTGCGCGTGGAGCCCGTGTTACCGGTTGCGGTGACACCGGTGCGGCGCATCCCCCGCCGCCCCCCCCCCGGTCTCACCATATCCACCGTGATCTGGCCGATGGCCGTGCTGCCGTGCTGCTGCTTGAAGCTCTTGATCTTCGCCTGCTCCTTGGGGATCATGGAGGCCAGGACATCCTTGAGGTTCTGGGGAGCAGGGAGCGGGGCTGAGGACCCGGTACCGGTGGGGCTGGAGCCGCCCCCCACATCACCACCACCGGGGCCCCCCCTCTTACCGTGGCGGCGCTGGCGCGGCGGGCGGCCAAGAGGACGCACGGGGGGTTCTATGGGAGAGCAGGAGCCGGTGTTACCGGTAGGGCCGTGCCAAGGCGGAAGCGCTGCGGTTCCCTGCGGCAGGGCCGGGAAGCCGAGCTTTGTTCCTCCACCCACGGGGATTCCGCCCGGATGCGGGCGGAAGCAGCAGCCGCCGGGAGCCGCATCCATGGCCCGGTACCGGTACAACGGGAACGGAGGGGAGGGATGGGGGGGGGGGGGGGGTCCGACACCGGTGGCTGCGCCGCGGCCCCCCCGCCCGTTACGGGCAGGACCAAGGGAGGCGGCAGCGGGAAGCCCAAGGTCAAGGCGGCCGCAGGCACCGGTGTCAGCGCTCCGGGCCCGAGGTGCCGCGGGGCTCAAGGTCACAGCGCGCCGGTGACACCGGTTGACAGCGAGGATGACGGCGCGGACCGGAGGGTGCCCCCCCCCCCCCAAAGCGTGACCGAGGCCAAGTGGGGCATCAGCGGGGCCCAAAATAACGCCCGGTCGATACCGACACCGCAGCGCCCGTTACGAAACGCGGGGCCGCGGCCAACGCGGCCGTGGGGGGGGGGGGGGGGAACCGGGACCGGCCCTGCCCGGCACCGGCGTCCGGTTCTTCCCCCCCTCCCCCCAGCACAGCCCCGGCCCGGCGGGGGCCGTGACCCCCATTGCCCTCTAATAGAAGGGGACAACGGGGGGGGGGGGGGGGGGGGGGGGGAGGGACCCCCCCCAGTTCTACCCGAGGCCCTACCGGTGCCTCCCCCCA